AAATCGAATTAATAGAAATATTGAATAATAACCCTAATGAATTACATAATTATTATATTTAAAAATAATAACACTAGTAACAACACGCCACTTGTGGCCTTCTGTGCCAATTCTGGGGGAGACACAAAAACAATAATACGCAAGATCACTATTTTTCAGAGACACAAAATTAGATCACTTAACCACAAAACTATTTTGACTAACTAAACCTCACAAATGTTGATATTCAGATGAAATGACAACATTAAAAATAGTATAGCCCTTCATCAAAAGTGCTGAGATGAGATTTTGTGCCATCTATGGTCAAGAAAAAAATTAGGGGGTGGGTAACATAGAGACATGATTTTTGATGTCAACGGGCTAAGGACAACACACTCTCATGACTTTTTGTTAGTATTTTATGATTTGGCAAATTGGTGCTAGTGGCACCCTGAGGGTTAGGTTTGGGGTGCATCTTAATTACCTACAAATTGTAAATTTTTTGTCAGATTGTACTAATTCATATTAAAATGCAGATCTGTACAATACTTACACATTCTCAACTTTTCTGTTTTCTGGCCAGCAAAAAAAAAGCATAGACCTGAACTCCACTGAACCTTTTCAGGATTAACTGGAACAACAACTGAGAGCCCTTTTTCTCAATGTTGGTGCTTTACTGTTGCGCTTATCTTGTTGAACATTTAATGTAAAAAATTTGAAAGGCCAGTCAGTAAACCATTGTTTGATAGAACCTGCTGTGCAGACACAGAAAGATTTTCCACAAACTGCTGCTGCTGCAAAAAAAGTGGAATGTGGCATTAAGTTTAGTTCTCACTAATGTAATGGAAAAGTCAAGCCTGTTCTCAAGAAAGGGCTGTTGACATTGGACACAGAGTGTGTGTAGGTTATCATTATTTGTGGTAGGGCTAAACAGTTGTTTCCAACAGAATATTCAAGAGAGACAGGGGACAAAAGACAAAATCAGAAAAATGATTCAGGACTTGGAATGGAGATTTTCACAGAATTATTTGCAGTTTATGTATCACCCGTTCAGTCAACACAAATACACAACAGATCCAACTATAAAAACAATAATGATCACAAAACCATTTGTACATTCATGCAATGTTGTAGCAAAGAAATCCACTTGAAAATAATAAAGTGACTCACCTTTCATCACTGAAATGATTCAGTTTATTTCATCTTGCATGACAGCATCCCAGCCTTAGCAAGACCATATTGGAGGATGAACCTGTTTTAATCATTGATTAGTTTACAGTATAATATATTATACTATATATAATAATATATTGTAATATATAACATATTGTAAATGCCTTAAAATATTAACCTACCATAAAAAAATATTTACTGGAGTAAAATGTGTGAACCAGCCATGATCGTATATATAAAATAACATAAACATGCTACTTGAAGGTGAACTGTTTTGAAAAAAAAAAATTTATACTCGAGGGGGGGAACACAATTTTTAATCATGTCACCTGTATTTGGGTCCTAACCATTTCAGCCTATGGACAATTTGATTAAGCAATTGAAGATCTGACGGACAAGGCACATATGGCTTATTATAGCATAAGAAAATCATTGTCAATCATAAATTGGCACCTATAATCAATTTTAAAGATCAAATAATCTCTATAAAAAAAATCTGCTGATGAAGAACTGCGTAAATGCGAACAGTCTGTCTGTAGACATTGGCAGACACTGATGGAGGACAAGTTGCATTTCTTCACAGTGTGCAGCAAATAAGACCATTATAGACAATTACTTTACTCAATTAGCTTGAATTTCTACCTGATTTCCAGTGAGCGAGTCATTTAGACAAAATCTTGGGAGAAAAGGAAGAATGTGGGTAGCGCTTTATTTTACAGTCCTGTTCCTCATGTTCATGCTATGCACTTATTATAGTAATTACAATAACTAGGTAATAACTAGTTACTAACCCTGAACCCACCCCTAAACCTAACCCTACCCCATGTTACCAGATATTATCAGAACTTTCTTTGGTAGGTACACTATTTTACAGTACATGTACTACAGTGTACTTATAAAGTACACCGAGAATGTGTCCAGCTCACAGCGCAATATATGTCCTCCTGCCACGAGGGACAGAAGCTGAACCCTAATATTTCCTTGATATATATGTGTGGGTTTATTATATCATTTATGTCTGTCTGTGTGTGTGTGTGTTTGTTTGTAATATATTTATTGCTTAATGTTCGGCAAAATTGTGCTACTCTACAGATTCATACCATTAAGCACAGTCATGCTCATTTGAACTGAATTGCATTGAATTGAAAGAGAGAGAGATAATCTGAACAACAAAACATCAGTAATCGAAAACACTTTGTTATAGGCAGAGATACAAATGTTTAAATTTGTTCACTTAGGAGATTTTAACACACTCAGTGTATTTTCATGAGTGCATCGACACAACACAGTCCTTGTAACATCAGAAGTAATTTTAAAGCTTCATTAAATTACATTTGAACATATAAGCTTGTATGAAACTGAACAGGTCTGGTTGCATTCATAATTAAATGATTCACAATACCCACTGTGCTACTGAAATAGTGATAATTCTCACCATGAATGTGTAGGCTCAAATTTGTGTATCAAAGTGGCTTATGTTTCAGTGCTTCATATCATTCTAGATAAATGTGAAATATGTCATATGTAAGTGGTTATATAAAACAAGGTTTAGGCCATTTCAAGTTGATCTTAGTTAATGTGTATTCCGTCAGGTACCACATTTTTTTACACATTCATTTTAAAGCCATCTCGACTACGGTGTAGAACATGACTGTCTTCAAAAGCCAATGAGAAACAATTTAAGGGGGGAAAAACCTTGCACAACCGTCTAGCGTATAGGAGGAGGAAGACTCTTGTTGATGCCCTTACTGTGTATTAGACTAAGGGGCAATCTGCAGGATCCCACATGAAATATGTGACCCTGGAGCACAAAACCAGTCTTAAGTCGCTGGGGTATATTTGTAGCAATATCCAACAATACATTGTATGGGTCAAAATTATCAATTTTTCTTTTATGCCAAAAATCAGGATATTAAGTAAAGATCATGTTCCATGAAGATATTTTGTAAATTTCCTACTGTAAATATATCAAAACTTAATTTTTGATTATTAATATGCATTGCTAAGAACTTCATTTGGACAACTTTAAAGGTGATTTTCTCAATATTTAGATTTTTTTGCACCCTCAGATTCCAGATTTTCAAATAGTTGTATCTCGGCCAAATATTGTCCTATTCTAACAAAGCTTATTTATTCAGCTTTCAGATGCTATATAAATCTCAATTTCAAAAAATGGACCCTTATCAATTTTTTGTGGTCCAGGGTCACATATGAAGAATGTCCGAGTGGATCCCATGTGAAGGTGCCTAGGTATCAAGCACCATTTGATATTTCAACACCAATATCTGGCTGTATGAAATGTACAAAAGTGCATTCTGGCAGCAAGCACAGATTTTTTAATATATATACACGTATAAATGAACAAGAACAAATCATTTAAAAAGATGATGTCTTGGGATACGTGTATAAAATCTGGTCATATACAACATAAAATAATACAGCAAATATCCAATTCCCATTCAGTGGTTATGTCTACTATAACAAATCAAATTGCACCACCTTTCAAAAGGTCCTATTGTCCACATGACAAAAGATTATGTCACTTATTTTGTAAAAAAGTGCATGGCGACTGCAGGCTATATGGGTGTTTTTAAATAGTGTTACTTTTCATATCATACTTTGTTACGGGCTACCAGACAAATAAGACTGTAATCATGAGAATAACAATGCATCAGATATACATTTTCAATCATCACAAAGCACTTAACATAAACTCATTTAAAACATATCTGTGAAAAGAAACATTTTAGCCTTTTGGCAAACATGTCTGGATCTACAACGAGAACCTTGTGCTTCAAAAATATGAATTCAAATGATATAACAAAATATCTTTTCGGTTTACTTAAAAAATATTCAAAACATGCCACACCACCAGAAACAACAAAAACACATTTAGAGTTACAAGCTCTGTGAGCTAAAATGTTGTAAAGAAACACTATATAACTTACTTACTTCAATCTTACTGCTAACCTTTTCCACAACCAAGTTGACCTTTGCGGTTGTATTAAATGAAGGGAATAAAATAACTGAGAAATCTGCAGAACAAGCTGTTTTGTCAAATTTCAACCCCCCCATCCCCCTATATTGCTACCTCTTCCTCTATGCTATGAGACAAGGGCAGTTTGGCCCCAAAATAAGGAAAACATATAATTTGTTTGGCTAATATTAAACATCAAAGACATATTTAAACATAAAAGTATGTTGGAAATTGTAAAAGTATTTTTGAACTCCTAGCCCTAACCTTTAAAATATAATTAATTTCTTTGATGCAAAGCTGAATTTCCATCAGCCATTACTCCAGTCTTCAGTGTCACACGCTCCTTCAGAAATCATTCTAATATGCTGATTTATTATTATAATTATCAATGTTGGCAACAGTTGTGCTGCCAAATATTTATTTGGTAACTGCAATACTTTTTTCAGGATTTTTTGATGAATAAAAAGTTAAAAGAACAGCATTTATTCAAAATATAAATCTTTTCTAACAATATAAATCTTTGCTATCACTTCTTAACATTTTAACACATCCTTGCTGAATAAAAGTTTTAATTTCTTTCAAAAGAAGAAAGAATAAAAATTTACTGACCCCAAACTTTTGAACAGTAGTGTTTATTGTAAGAAA